GGTTTTGCTCTGTTGTTCAGGCTGGAGTGCGGTGGTGCAATCACGAGTCACTGCAGCCTCCACTTCCTGGGCTCAGATGATTCTCCTGCTTCAGCCTCCAGAGTAGCTGAGACCACAGGCATGTACCACTGTGCCCAGCTAATCTGTGTGTGTGTGTGTATTTTTTTTTGGAGATGGCATGGGAGTGCAGTGGTGAGATCACTGCTCATTCTAGCCTCAATCTCCTGAGCTCAAGTGATCCTTCCACCTCATTTTTTGACTTTTGTAGAGATGATGTCTCACTATGTTGCCCAGGCTGGGCTTGAACTCTTGGGCTCAAGTGATCCTACTGCCTCGGCCTCCCCAAATGCTGGGATTACAGGCATGAGCCACCAAACACGCAGTCTACTTCTGTATGTTTTTGTGAGACGGATTTTACTGTAAATGTTACCCCACACAGGCTGGTTCAACTCCTGGGCGCTAGGCGGGTCTATCTGCATCAGCCCCCAAAACTCGTTGCGAACTTACACGCATCAACGAGCCTTTGTGCCTGACCCTTTGCCCACCTTCTTAACATGCGAAATTACTATTATTTTTACTGTTGAAACGTGGTTTGAGTTTCCTTGTCGCTATTCGTGATATTAATTCCCTGTTTGGATCGCAATACGTTATTTTCGTCAATATCTCTTTCCCATTCACCAGTATGTCTATTCAGGTCCATTGTTTCACCTCTGTGTGCACCACGCCCTTCTTAGTTCCATATCAGTCCAATCTTTGATACTTTTGTTTTGTTGCCCGCCACGTGCTTTGTGAGTCTTAGCCATAGAAGCCCTTTTCCTAAGACCAGTGGTCCCTGAGGCTTCCCGCTATTTTCTTCTAGTAACCTTTTATAGGTTTCAGGGCTTATCGCTCCTAACAGTGCTTTATCCATCTCAAATTGATTTCTTCGTGTATCACGCCAGGAAATGTAGGCGGTTAGTTATATGTTGTTGCACTACCATATCCGATACCCTCCAAATTTCCCCAGCACATTTGCTTGAGGGCTGTCCTTTCCCCCAAGTGAATGTCCTTGACCCGCCCCTCTTAGTTGCAAAATCAGTTGGCTGTAATGTGTGACTATTTCCTGAGATTTTTAGTTCTGTTTCATTTGATACCTGTTTTTATATACCAATAACCAAATGGCTGTCTTTGGTCACTAGACGCCGTTGTCAATATATGTTGCACGTCAGATAGTATAAGTCTCCCCCAGCTTTCTTTTTTACTTGGATTGATGTCTCTATTCAAGCTCTTTTTGGTTCCCATATGATCTTTACGGATTATTGTTCTTCCTACTTCTGTGAAGAACTGCGGCATGGCCTTTTGATAGGGTTTTATTGAAGTCGGTTAGATTGCTTTGTTGTATGGTCATTTGTAACAATATTGGAGTTTCTTTTTCTGTCCTGCGAGCATGGGTTGGGTCTTCATTTCTTATTCCTTTCTCAATTTCTTCATCTGTGTTCTGTCGCTCTTTTCCTGTATAGGTTTCCCTACGCTTGGTTAAATTTTTTTCCTAGGTTATCGTTTATTTTCTTGTAGCTATTATAAATGGGATTTCCTTCTGTTTCTTTCTCAGCTAGTTCTGATTATGGGTGTATAGAAATGTACTACCATGTTGTATGTTGATTTTTGTATTCCGTACCACTTTTTTTTAACGGGTTGCTCTATGTCAGGCCCTGTAGTGCGTGGTGCCATCCTTGCACTGCATGTCTGCCACTCACCGGTTCAAGGCAATTCTCCTGTCTCAGCCTCCTGAGTAGCTGGGACTACAGGCGTACGCAACCACGCCTGGCTAAATTTTGTGTTTTTAGTAGAGACAGGGTTTCAACATATTGGTCAGACTGGTCTTGAACTCCTGATCTCGGGTGATTCTCCTGCCTCAGTCTCTCAAAGTGCTGGGATTACACCATAAGCCACCACATTTGTCTGTATTCTACAACTTTACTGAACTCATTTATCAGATCTCAGAGCTTTTGATGGAATCTTTAGGTTTTTCTAGATACGAGATCATGTCATCTACAAAGAGGGACAGTTTTACTTCCTCTCTTCCAATTTGGATGTCTTTTATTTGTTTCTATTGTCTGATTGCTCTGGCTAAGACTTCCAGAACTGTGTTGAATAGGAGTGGCAAAAATAGACATATCCTTGTCTTGTTCCAGTTCTTTGAGGGCAGGAAGCTGAATAGCTGATCGATAGGATGATGTTAAATGCAGGTTTGTCCTATGTAGCCTTTATTATGTGGAAGATAATTAATATGGTCCTTCAGTGCCAAGTTTGGTTGAGAGTGTTCTATCGTGAAGAACTTTTTGATAAAAAAGCATTTTTATCAAATGCTTTTTGCTATATCTCTTAAGATCATATATATTTGTCCTTTATTCTGTTGATCGTGATATGTCATCTTTGTTGATTGGTGTATGTTGAACTACCTTCTGCATTTCTGGGAAATCCCACCTGATTGGTATGTTATCCTTTTGATATGCTGTTGGATTCAGTTAGTTAGTATTTTGTTGAGGATTTTTACATCTATGTTTATCAGGGATATTAGAGTGTAACTATCTTTTTTTTGTTATTGCATTCTTATCTGGTCTTTGGTATGAGGGTTACTCGCTAGCCTAGTAGAATGAGGAAGAATTCCCTCCTTTTCAATTTTTTGGACTAGTTTGACGGAGAACTGGTGTTAGTTTGTGCTTTGTAAGTTTGGTAGAATTTGGTAGTGAAGTTCATTAGCAGTGAAGCCATTGCGGTCCTGGGCTTTTCACTGTTTGGATACTTTTTTATTATGGATTCAATTTCATTACTCA